TGACAAAAAAATTATTCCTGCTTGAAACTCATTGGAATAACTTTCAGATTCTGCTTAAATCTAGAAAAATCAACTTTTCTGAGGAGAAAGAAACCCTTAAAAGAATGATGAATAAGAGAACATACTTAACATGTTGATTGTTCTAGTCAAACTACTGAAAAACACTTTTTGTAATTAAAAAAATTTATAGATCAGATTTTCTAATTAAATAAATTGAAATTTATGATAAAAATAAAATCATAATTGAATAAATTTGACATCATTGAATACTCTAGTCGTATCCAATTAAGAAAAAGGTATGTCTCATATAAGAAGTGTTAATGTTATTTTTGCCTACATATTATTTCTAAAGCTTACTGATACATATCACGAGATAATATATTTTATTGTGCATTATTAACTTTTGAATATAGAATCCATATTTGTATTCAAATTTTTTCTACCTGACATAAATTTACAGTACAAACACAAATATATGCAAATGTTTTTGTCAATATCTTACCCATTAGTCTAAGAAAAGTTTTCTTGTTTATTTCCAATTAATCATAGGAAGTGCCTTAATTCTTAACAAAACATTTTTCTATTTAGCTTCTTGGTCGTTCAATTGATTTAACATTTCTTCTAACTCAACGTTTAACATTATCCTTTAAAAAGTCACTTGAAACTGCCATACAACGTTTTGAATCAGTTAATATAACCGGTGTTATGGTAAAAAAGAAAAAAAAACTTCATTGTTATTTTTCTAATGAAATTTATCTCTTATCTAAAGGAATTACAATGTTTACTTGAAGTGAATCGTTTGACTCATGAACTTCTTTCATCATATTTAACATTAGATAGTTTTGAATCAATTATTAGTGAAGTTAATCATAGTGTATCAAGTGCACTTGGTCGTATAACATTACATATTTTTTGGGAATTAACATATGATTTTTTACCACATTATTGTTATAATGGAAGTACAAATAGATTTGTTAAAACTCAACAACCACATGTCAATGAAACAAGACGAGAAAAAATGACACGTGAAATTCCTGATGTTCAATTATATGGAACAAGAGAGTTAAATCAAGCATATGATATTGTTATTAATCTTTATCGAGGTTTTGTTGGTGTACAACATTTTCGAACAATGACTCGTTTACTTGGTTATCAAGGTATTGCTGTTGTTATTCAAGAAATGCTTAAAGTTGTCAAAAATTTGGTATTAAAAACAACAATTTTTTTTTTTTGGTATTGAAATATTTTTATGCTTTTTAGTTGGATAAAACAATCCGTGAATTTGTGGAAAAATTACGTACATGTATGCCGAAGCAATGTAAATTACCTCGATCAGATTATGGATCACCAGGTAAACAAATGAATTTATGATTAGGAAAAAAAATCTTTGTTTTTGAAATTAAAGCTATTCTTCAATATTATCTTCATCAACTTCATGAAATAATTCATTATCCAGCACTGCAAGATGTATTTCATTGTTTTCGAGAACTTGGAAATGCTATTTTGTTTTTTCTTATGATTGAACAAAGTCTAGTAAGTCAATTAGAAAACAAGATGTCTTGTATTTTAAATGATCCAATACTGATTGAGCTCATTATTTTTGCTATCATATGATGACTCTTCGAAACTAGTGAAAGTTCAAAAGTATATAGTCCATTGCCTTGTTCTTCTGGAATTATAACCATTTATACTGAATATTCAATGTTAGACAAGCTATCTGATTAAAGATTGAAAAACAAAAGTTGAATCTAAAGTTTGATTCATAAGTATATCTTACGATTACTAAATTGTTTCGGAAGTTGCACATAAAAAGGAGAATTTCTTTTTAAGATATTGAATCATTAAAAAAAATTTGGTGTTCTTAATTTTGTTAATGATATATGAAAATTTCGTGATCATTCAATATTTTCAGAATGAATCTTGATTTGCAAGTGAAACTTTCAGAATAATCTAATAACAATGAAGTCTACTAATGAACAAAATTTCAGGCTGAGTCTGTGTGTCATGCAATCTTTCACCAGGTAGCCTATAGAACGTTGAAAATTCAGTAATAGGATCAAAACTCCGAAATGATTACGTAGAAGCACAAAGCACGAGCTCGATTGGCGTTCAACAATAGCGAACGTTTTCTCATAATGATCAATAGAATGTCATGAAAGTTTCAGAAAAAATACAGACAATATTGATTATACTATAATTTTTAAGATTGCTAATGTCTCTTAAGAAATATTCAATTTTTTAAAAATTGAGAATTTTAAGAAGAATACATTGTTTTTATTGAAAGCTTTTAGAGTGTCATACAATCTAAAGATATGCTCATAACTTAAATAATAATTGGAATAGTTCCTTCATCAGATAAATTCGAAATTTAAGTTCTATTCGATTAGGTCTCCAAATCTAGAAATGTATGATTTCGCTGAAAACATCAATAGTGTTTCTACCGATGCTGTATTCACTGGAACACTGACATATTCATATAGTTCGGTTGTGTCAGGTACGACGATGAGTACCGATGTCAATGTAATTATTAGTAAACTGAAACTTCACATCTCTATCTCAATCATATTATGAACAGAAAGAAAAACAACCGAGTTTGATTAATGTTAACAGATATATTAGATTACAGACTGATAATTTTCAACAATGTTTAAATCTACAAACCTAGCTTAATGATATTTTTCGTCAGAAGATGTTTTGCGAGAAAATCAGTTTAGCGAATCATAGCATAATATCAAATATCAATATATAACTGTCAGTCTTCTTCTGTGTATTATTTATAATAACTTAACAATTTACAATTTTTTTTAGTTAATGAGGAACATCCAAAAATAGAAAACATCATTTGTATGATATAATCTGAATTAAACTACTTAGGAATATTCAAAAATACTGGCAGATGTACTTTATTTCCGTATAGATAGCTACAGAAAACTTTCTCTTTATATGCAGCGATAATAAAAACAATGCTCTATTTTTCTATGATGTTTAATCGTTCTTCAACTAATATCATAATAATAAAATTTCGATAAGCACTGTTTCTTATGATATGTGATGAAATATTAGATCATATTATCATCGATATTTATTTATTTTTTTGCTTTTCTTCTGTCTTTTTTTGTTCTTTTTCATCTCTGCTAATTCCAAATGGTCTATGTATATTAGGGTACGCAAAAAGTGACGGTCATTGAACGAAAAAAAAGATACAGAAACAAGTTCATCAATTTTTTATGTCATCAAATGTGCCGAGATAATCGGTGCGTGTGAATGTGGGTCTCCTCTCTTCTCCTATAATCACACCCACACCCCGACACTCACACCATCATAAATTCTTGGGACAAAGAAGAATATAGAAAAACGTTCAATAATTGAATTCACCGAATGCAATTGTGTATGGAAAACCACGGCGATTATTTCTAACATTTTATGAAATAAGAACTTGATGAACTTGTTTCTCTATTTCTTTTTTGTTCTATCGTCAACACTTTGTGTACCCTAATATAACATATATATAGATGTCGATCCATTAATAGAGACAGGAAAAGATAAAAACAGAGAAGAGTAAAATGAGAATACACATCGAAGATAATATGATCTAATATCATCGTTACGTATTATAAGAAACACTTATCAAAATTCATTATTATGATAGTAGTTGAAGAATGATTGAATACTATGGAAAAATAGAGTATTGTTTTTACTATCACTGCATATAAGGAGAAAGTTTCCTCAAGCTTTCTATACGAAAATAAATTACATCCCTCACTATTTTTGAATATTTCAAAGCAAAAGGAAATTAATTTTTTCTTCGAAATAAATGAATTGATATATCAATATTAAATAAATACCTGTTTATTTTTAGTCTCAAGAAGAAATAAAAGATCTATTACAAGCAGCACCGTTTCAAAATTTAATTCCACGTCCATATGCAAAAGAAGGTGAATCACTTGAAGTAAAAATTCGACGACTTGAAGCTAAATATGCTGCTATGTCACTTGTAAATATTATTAAAAAACTTGGCACCGAAAAAGTAATAAACAATTTTTTTTTTGTCTGTTTCTTCATAATCATTAATTGTATTTTGTTTTTTCAGCAAGGAAAACTTGTTGAAGAAGCTGATTTATTAACACGTGAACGTCTTTGTATTGGTTTAACAACATTTGAAGTTATGCTTGATCGTATTCGTTCATTTCTTCTTGATGATCCTATATGGACAAATAATCCATCATCGGCCATAAGTAGTAATATAAGTCCATTATCAAATATAGATGATACATATGATTTTCATCGTATATGGAGTGCATTACAATTTATTTATTGTTTACCAACACGTCATGAAAATGATATGAATGTTGAACAATTATATGGTGAAGGTTTAAATTTTGCTGGTTGTACAATAATACGTTTATTAAATGAACATAGAAAATTTGAAACATATGATTTTACATATCATTTATTTAAAATAAATCGAAGTGATCAAAAAGAAGATGAAGTTAAAAATGTGGTAAGAATGAAAATTTTCATTTAAAATTTTTTATATTTTCCTTTTGTCATATTAAGTCTTTACCAACGTTTACAGAACGTATAAGAAAATTTCAAATACTTAATCAACAAATATTTGCTTGTCTTAATAAATATTTATGTCATACAACAACAGATGAAATACCTGTCGAACAGGTTAAATGTTTAACACCAATGACATTACAAACAATACAGTATGTAGAATTCATTTAAGTGCAAACAGAAATGAATTCTGTTTCTTTTTTGTCTTATTATTGAATAGATCATCAATTCCAATTTATCAACATAATCGTCTTCCTGGAACAACAAGTGAATGCTAGTCTATCTTATCATTGATCTAATCATGTTTCTTTTTTTCTCTGATGTATATACAAATATCACTGTGTGTGTGTGCGCGTGTTTTCTTTTCTTTTCTCTGTAATTCAATTTCGACAAAGTTAATATCTCTTCTGTCCTCTTCTAGATGACTGTTTTCTACCATCATGAGTTATGAAAAGGAGCAAAAAGTACCTTTTGTTCCTATGAGTTCAAGACAACAAAGAATCTCGTATAAATTAAAACAACATTCACCTGAGTATGCCGCTGGTTTTCTTTCATCAGCAACAAATATTTTATTAACTTATCCAGTTAATAAATTAATTTTTCGACAACAACTTTATTGTCTTAATACCTTTGCTGCCTATCAACAATTAAAAGATGAAGGTTTTCTTATTCTATATCGTGGCATGGCATTACCATTATTACAAAAAACATTTTCTTTAAGTATCATGTTTGGTGCTAATGCACATTATTTACATATATTACAATCATTTTCAAAAAAAGATTATTGGTTTTATCAACCGATTGCTTCAGCATTAGCTGGTGGTACTGAAGCTATTTTAACACCATTAGAACGAATACAAGTTTTACTTCAAACACCAAAATATAATACTAGTATTCGTAATGGTTTACATGCGTTTATGTTGATGTATCAACATTATGGTATTATAGAATATTATCGTGGTGTAACATTGATTTTAATACGTAACAGTGTGTCAAATATGATATTTTTTGCATGTCGAAAACCTATAAAAGGTTTATTGCCATTAGCTTCAACAGATTTTGAACATTCAATATATGACTTTTTAAGTGGTGGTTTATTAGGTGCTCTTCTATCAACATTAACTTATCCAATCAATGTTTTGAAAAATATTCAACAGTCAGAACTTGGTGGTCGTCATGATCGACCATTACAAATACTTCGTTCAGTTTATGAACAAAGGGGACATTCTATAAAAGAATTTTATATTGGAGCTAAATGGAATTTTATTCGAAGTCTTGTCTCATGGGGAATAATTAATAGTACATATGAATATTATTTAACTGCGTTTCAAAAAGTTATTGTTGATGATGATTGATTTCTTTCTACTAGAAAAAAAAAATTTCATGTACTTGTGGTGTCCACTAATAGAACAGTTTAAATGTGAATATGGAAATCAACATAGGCCAAATTAGGGACATTCGGTCATATTTTTTGTTTAATTTTATAAAATTTTGTTTTTACATACTTCATGATTAGTGGTGTTTATTATGTGTGTGGTTTGGATCATTTTTTCTTCTTTGTTGTATGTACATGAAAAACCGAAGACTCTGAAAGAGTTATCAGTAAATGAATCGTATTTTTGCCTTGAGATTCTTTCATGATAAAGCATAATATTGAATGAATAAACACGTTCAAAGGATATTTGTTAACATGTTTCAAAGTAAAAGTTTATATCTCGCTTCAAATTATGGAGAGAGGATGAATAAGACAACCTTATCTTCTATAGTGTATGCTACTCTTTCGATGATTCTTAATTATCTTTAAGTTGCTACATAAAGATCAGATCATCTCATTTAATTGTAAATATTTCTTGTTAATTTAGAACTATTGTGATCTATTATATGATTGGTAACATTTTTTCAGGACGATGAGCAACATCTATCACTATTTTTATTTCCATAGAAACGAAGTTCAAATGATACAATAAACGTTTATTTTAATAAAAGTCCAAAAAACGTCTGTATACTACTGAAATATTGTTCACTGCCGTTATTGTTCATTGTAGATATTTGATAGATTTGTGTAGGGTTATGCAAAAACAATGTACAAACAGGAATATTTGATATAAACCTTGTTGATGTCATTCATCATTAGAGTCTAAACAAAAACAAAGTTCTTTTGATGTTAAACGCAAATAAATCAATGATTTTTATTTATAGAAAGAATTTATTGGATTATTATATTGCATAAATAATTGTTGAATGGCAATTAATACACAATTATCATGGTTTTTTGTATTAATAATAAATTGAAATATCCTGTAAAATTTGTTAATTGATAATCTTTAACAAATTTTCTGTTTTTTTTCTTGAATAAATATTTCTGATTTGATATGCTTCATATATGTACTATTTACGAATTCATCATCATATATACATATACTAGTCATCAAAAGTCTCTCTGCCAGCTAAAAAGTATGTAAACGCGTTTCTATTGATTTAATATTTTGACAACAAATAGAGCGCAACGAGTCCTAATTGCAAACAGCAATCAAGACTTGATCAGACTTCAAGCGATAAGCTAGAAGGTCAATATAATTTTTTTTATTCAGGCAAGGATATTTGAGTATTAGCAAGAAAACTCACAGCGTTTGATTCCTTATTCGAAAGCTCAGTACTACCTCTATCATCAATAAAAATTGCATATCAAACAATTGTAGTTTGCTTGGTTTATGAAGTTATCTTTGGTTACTTGTAGCATGAAAGTCGACGGAATTCGTCAAAATGGAAACTTGTAATTGCAATCATTTAAAACCATTTGTCTTGAAACTATCTCTAGTGAGTTGTCTGCTCTAATCAAGTATTCCTTGCAAAATTTCATGATTATAGCCATTGGTGTGGCAGAGATCTATGCGAAGATCATCCCAGATAATGGAAATGTTATTATATCTACGGATCACAGCAGATTATAGCCTTCTATCAGTAACACAACAAAGACATATGGAGCTTTCTTTGTAAATAGAAGAATAGACTGTAATGCTTCAAATTAAGGACGAGTCAGAAAGATGTTTAAAAAAAAGGTGCGTTGATGTTCTAGAAAAAAAAGTACTTTAATTCTGAATGCAATGCATTAATATCAAGCAATCTCATGTTGGTGATTGCGATCAGAATTTACCGAGCTCTATTTGTAGTTATAATACCAGGCAAAATGATTCAAATTTAGGTACTTTCTACTAACATAGACGAATACAAGCAAATTACAAACGAAGAAAAGCTAATGAATCGAGTATGAGAAATAGAACGAAAAGAATCCTCTGTTGCACAATTAACTTATGTTGGTTCAACGTGAATACGTGAATCATTATCATACATTTTATTCAAAAGAGCAATAATATCATCTAATTTAAGACATGATCCTCGATTGTCTTCGACAATAAATTTCATCTTGTTTTCTATCTTCCATACCTCGTAACAAAATAAAGAAATATAATTCGGTTTATANCCCTTCGATCATAAGACGGAACGAAACGAATGATGAGTACTCCTTTCTAGTACAGTGGTTAATACGTCTGCCCGGAAAGCAGGAGATACATGGTTCGATTCCATGTGAAGGGGGATTATTCTTTTGTTCCGTTCTGTTGTCATACCATCACGTTGCTGTCTCGCTGATAACCGAGTAAAGAAAGAAAGTAGACATAACATTATCAAATTCATATTGTGTTCATATTTCAGTTTCTTTCTCAAGTATTTGAATATTTTCTTTATATTCAACATTTTTTTTATATTTATTTACAATATCTTGAAAGATTTAAAAAGAAAGCTACTTGAAAAAGTCTACGAAGATTCCAATAGGAGACGCAAATTTTCATATTATCTAATATTATAGCCGACAGAATGTTGATCACCAAAGAAATAGAAAATAAAACTAATATAATTTGCTCGAATGATGAGAGAAAGAAAGTAACCACGTAAAGAGATGTTCGACAATCATACACATTTATTTTTAATCTTTAAAAATGAAAGCTAATAGAATTATTTGTTCCTAATAAACAGTGCTTATGACGGAGAATAATGAACACAATTTATTACCATGTATGTCCAAATGATATTGACATAATTTTGAAGAAATATACATATAAGAAATAGCATATCACAAAATTTCTTGACTTGAACTTAAATCAACATCGTATCTTATCTATCATACATAGCTATTAGATTACATATATTTTCATCGATTTTATAAAGAAGATGAAATTTTTCTGCAATTTCTTTTCTTGAGTACATTATGTTGTATCTACATATTTACAATCTATAAAATCCCTCAAAAACATTAACTTAATTGTTTTTTTTTTTCGTTATTTTTAGTTGACATCAGCAATTGGCAATAATCTATGGCACTACACAAATAAACAATCGAACTTCTTTAGATAACTTTTTTTTGTACTAATCTCTTCTCTCATATTAATTGAAAAGTGTTCAACAATAAAAAACAATTGATACGATTGTTTCTTTAATTGATTTTCTTTTCCTTTTGTTTAATTTTCCAGATGTCTGACTATGATGATGATGGTGATCATGACGTGGCACCTAATTATGAAAACATGCGCGGTATGGGCTTCATTTGTTGGCGTGAAATACCCGCAACAAATGATGAGGTATGCCTACTCAAATTTCTTTTAAATAAAATATCTCTATGATTTTCTTTGTTAAGGTTCATGAGGATATTCAATTAAATAAGAAGAAAAAAAAGCAAAAGAAAAAACGAAAACTTGATGCAGTTGAAACAGAACAAGAAATTGAAACGCCTATTAAAAGTGAAACATAATTTAAATTTTTATTAAATAATTCAATCGTTAATTTTAAAAAAATTATTTATTTAGAAGTTAAAACAAAGAAAAAGAAACGTTCAAATGAAACTAACATGACATCATCACTTCAAATAATTAATGAAAATAATAAAGATGAAGTTGAAACAACTTCTAATAATGATACTATTGGTAAGAAAAATATTTCTTTCCAATTGTATTCTTAATATGAAAATTAAAATAGAAACTGCTAAAAAAGTTTGGTCAGATCTTCATGTCTCGGAAAATATCATCCGTTCATTATTGGAAAAAAAATTTTATGATCCAACTCCAATACAACGTCTTACTCTACCAGCTGCTATTCGTGATCGTTTAGATATTATTGGTGCTGCTGAAACAGTAATTTCATTTTCTTGTTTTTTATTAAAAAAAAACAATTTCTCTTCTCATAAATTAGGGCAGTGGTAAAACATTAGCTTTTGCTATTCCAATTCTTACTCATATGAATAGATTGTTAGAAAGCAATGAAGTAAGTTCAACTTATGATTTCAAATGAATTGACTCCTGGAGAACAGGATTAGAGAACGGTTTTTTGTTGTTTTCCTGCATTCTGCAAAACATTACCATTTAATCCCTGTTTCTTGCAGAACAAGAGATCCTCATGTGTCCGATCTGCAGGACGATCTTTTCATTGCATTTTTGACAAAGAAAAAAAAATTGTCTGTATATCAGATACGATGTCAAATGTCGTAGACGTGCTATTTATACAACAATCATTTGTAAATTTTATCACATATTTTTCAGCAAACATGAAATATACAATAAAAAGAATACTTGACATCCACACGGTGGACCAAATGATAATAAAATAAACAAAAAGATGTAGGATTCAAAATATAATCAATATAAACAGGTAGACAATGAGAAGGAATAAGTTTTCTTTTTATTGCTTTTTCTTGAATTTCTCGTATAAACGCATACAAAATATGCTATGAATTTGACTTGGTGATAAACATGTTCGTCTTTGAGAAAATATTGAGCCTGCTGAGCTACACAATCATTCCACCGAAATAGTTATCAGTAGTATGGTATATACTCTTGTGGCTACTATTGATAATAATGGGATATTACGACGGATTTCACTAATAGACCAGAACATTATTGAATCCTAATCAATGAAGTAACGTGGATGTCCTGCAGACTCTACGTCTTGTGATGTTCTCTGGACAGGATTACTTTTAAGAAAACAATGGAGACTTTTGAAGACTTGATAGGATATATTTATTCATATCGATATCAAAAACAATGTCTAACAGGATTTTAGAGTATGATCATCTTGAGCGTGTGGATGAACGTAGGTCTGATCCTCAGTTGCACCCTCGCAATGCGAATGGAATTGTAACAAGTTGATGTTCTGTGTGCTACCGCAGATCATAAGAGATATCTGTAAATCAATTAAGAGTATTCAAAACCAAACATTTATATATACATCTTCTGTTCTCAACAGGTTAATATAATAAAACGATCTTTTAGATGTCATATGGACAATTTACAAGTCTGATTCTTACACC